TCGTGATCATGGGCTGACCTAATTGTTTTAGTTTGGCATTTTTGGTACGGACGTAAAAAAATTAAGCTTTTTTGTTTGAAGAATGGGCTTGGCCCTCAATAATCCCCAAGTGCAATGAATTGTCGTAGCACTTTTCGATGATGGAGGTGGTAAATATGGAGTGTCGAACCCTCACACTTCATACCGGAGTAAAAAGAAAAGCTTGGGCGGCCAATTATGTAATATCCATAATAAACACTCTCAAAAATAAGAACTCAGTAACCACCGTACGCATTGCGTTCTGGAACATTCTAAAATGAAACTCTGGCACGCTAAGATCTTTCCAAACCTGTAGGCGCCAAAGCCAGTCCACATCAGTACAGCGCCATGATTTTGAGGCCCTTGCTGCTGACTATTCCATCTATTAACTAGAACCGTGACAGGATCTAATAATTATGTAGCGTACTTTGTAAAGCTGTGGCTCAAAAGCGTACGTTGTTGTTTTGTGGTACCTCAATGCTTGAGTGTTGTGCGTGTCAGCAGCCCCATGTGTACGACTACTGAAGCTATGAAGACAAACGCTACAACAAGTCCAACAGGCCACCCATGCCGAGTGCAGTGCTTTGGTCCTCAATGAAACTCATTTTTTGAAACATTCAAACATCACATCTGAAAGTTTTTAAAAATTCCAAAAAAGCATCACATCTCAAAGAAGGCCTCGAAATTACTAGACTTCGAGCAAAGCAGAAGAAAGCTGATTTGATTAGCAGTTGGATTGAACAGAATCTCTAATTTTTCCATGTTTCCCAAAACTGGTGTTGGTTGATCCTTTTTAGTCTGGCTACTTATAGCCTATGTAATTGTACTTTGTTTTATTTATTAATATAGAAAATTCCATAGAACGATTGTTCTACGGTTTCGGCTCAAAAAAAAACATATGGATGTATACTACATATGTGTAAAATTTTATAAGAAAATACATTGGTTCACGGACTACACCAAAATAAAAATCATTGGTTTATTTAGTGAAAAATGCATACGCTGTTCACTGTTTTCAAAATCATCAATTTGTCTATTTTTAGCTTCGTGTGTTGATGTATTTGGTCATAAAATTTGCACGTATGCAATATACATCCGAATTCTATTGTGGATTTTTTCCAGTTCTTTTTCTAATTTTCAAAGAAAAAAAAGCTCAATGGAGCTGAAAAAATGACATTCATGGTGGTTTGAAAAACAAAGTGCCTCAAGACGCTTTAAAAAATAGTCGAATGATACTTATGTTTATTATTTACAACAATTGGCACATACATAGAACAATCAACCATGTGTGTTGCCAAAAAATATGTCAGAATTTTACTTTTCATGAAGGTGTATATGTGCTCAGCAAAGAGCAATACATGTCTTCCCTAGTACCTATTAGCTTGCCCATCCCATGCCTCACTTCTCCTCCTATTCCTCCTCCTGTTACTCGCAGAAAAATCTTGAAGCCTTTGGAGTTCCCTTGAGCAACATGAAGTTGTGCTACGAGTTCACGGCTGAGCCGCAGGGGCGGAGGACCAAGGCAAGTAGCTGCCGATGTCTCCCGTCTCACTGCCAACTACTCTTGACCATCCTCGACACCTCTTTCACTTATATTTGTCATACCCTCAACTTCCCTTGTCGCCTCCTTCATTATCTTGTGCCCACCCGTCACGGTGGTCCCATGCGATGATGTGAAGGCATCGACCGAGTAGGTGTTGCACCATGAGTGATTCGATTTTGTGGCATTCCTTTGAGTCAATCTTTCGGGCTCCGATCCTCCTCAAGTTCGCCCGTTAGGACGGATTAGACAAAGCTCCGGCGTAGATTCTTGTCGGCTCTTTTGGGCGGCGGCGTTAGGGTTTCTCATCATGCGTATGCAATGACGATATTTGGTGTTAGGTTCTTCATGGTCGACAAGCTAATCTCTCGCCGCCGGTGATAGAAGGGAATGGAAGAAAATAGAGATATACACAAGATTCGTGATCAAGGGTGGACCCAGTTTTTTTTGGAGTGGGGCATTTTTCTTTACTAGATGTAAGAATTTAAGTAGTTTCTTATGAGGATGTGAACTAATTCTCTAGAAATTTACAAATAGTTCTAGAAAAGTTGTAAAAGTGAGTATACTTTTGTTTTAAAGTTCATTTTGATGTACTTTTTCAAAGAAAGTTTGTTCCCGTATTTTTGGAAATTTTGAAGGAACATAAGTCAAGTATTTGTTGAAAATATATTTTCTTTTTCAAATTTTCACCATTTATTTAAAAAGCTCAATGTATTTTTTGGAAGTTCAATGGTTCTATTTTCAAAGTATAACTAAAGTTGTTGAAAGCCTGTTCCAACTTCCACCCGAATTTTCTAAAAAATATCTACCAATTTTTGTAAAATTGCATGGCCAGACAACTCACTTTCTGATAGCTTTATGTCGCTGTCCATATTCTGTCATCTTTCTGTTGTTGTTGAAATGTGACCACCGGGGAAGATTTGGCGGCTTACTGCCATTGGGAAGATTTTTGTGGATTACCCTCAAGTAGATACGCCCATCACTTGGATTCCAATAGAATGCATGAGGAAGGTTTGGAAATGCAACAAATTAGAATCTCCCTAAAGCTTTATTTCAAATCCAAAAGATATATTTTATAAATATTAGGGTTCTCGAGAAAATCTCCAACTTCCAATGATGGTGTCATAGGGGCGCTAGAGGGTGGCGAGGGTAGTCGACAATATACCAGAAGGAGAAGGAGACAACAACAATAGACAAAAGTGATTGACAATACGGAAAGGAATATTGATGGGTCTATTTTGTGAAATGTCTTGTGTGATGCCTTGGAGCACATCTGCTTGCAAAAGCATGGTTAGGAAGGCATCATTTTGCTTGTTGTCAATGTCGTCTACAAATGCATAATATTAAAAATATGTGTTGTCAATGTCGTCTATAGATGCAAAATAAAATATGCGTACATTGATCAGGAAGATGTGTTCTAGTATTACTGATTGATAGTTTCTATGTTTTTCTTAGTTCTCAGTAGACATCGAGAACAATTGATCCTATGTTGATATCCTTCCAAGATTTCACAATTTATGAACTATAAGAACATACTATATATTCCCAAGGTGACTTGGGAAAGCCTTTCTCTCCTCGATCTTCACCGACGAGCCCGTGGATTAGCCTCCCCTTCGCCTGCCACTCCGACAGCCGGTGGAGGGGAGGAGAATCCTGGTGTCTCGGCTCCCACTAGTAGATTGGTAGGGTTTTAGTCCTGCCAGGGGCGGTGTTTGGACGGATGGTGGCACTCCTTCTTTGAGTCAATCTTTCGGGCTCCGATCCTCCTCAAGTTCGCCCGTTAGGACGGATTAGACGAAGCTCCGGCGTAGATTCTTGTCGGCTCTTTTGGGCGGCGGCGTTAGGGTTTCTCATCATGCGTATGCAATGACGATATTTGATGTTAGGTTCTTCATGGTTGACAAGCTAATCTCTCGTCGCCGGTGATAGAAGGGAATGGAAGAAAATAGGGATATACACAAGATTCGTAATCAAGGGTGGACCCAATTTTTTTGGAATGGGGCATTTTTCTTTACTGGATGTAAGAATTTAAGTAGTTTCTTATGAGGATGTGAACTAATTCTCTAGAAATTTACAAATTCGAGTGGGGGGCCTGGTCCCCACTGAGCTCTATTTTGGTCCGCCCATGTTGGCATGATGTGGAAAGGATATTGACTAGTCTCTTTCAGAAATGCGACGTGTGATACGTTGGAGTGTGTCCGCGTGTAAAAGTATGGTTAGCAAAACATCATTCTGATGTGATCTCGAGGTGCTGTCCCGAGACACAAAAACGTACAAGCACAAATGTGAAGGAAAACTTCTTCTCATATGTCTAACATTGCTCTCTCTAGTATTCTTGGTTGAATATGACTACGACGCAAAGAGAGCTCATCATGATCCACTTGACGCCTTCGACGTCAGCTCACATCATCCCATGTGATCACGCACAATGTTGTGGTGTCGATCGTGCGGTGCACAACATGTCGGGGTGTAAAGCATTTGTCCACACATTCGAACGTAATGAATTGGATTCTTGGTTTTAAACACATCCATCAATTTGTAGATTAGAAAAAAATCAAAGTTCCAGTATGCCAAAGCATCCTCTTTATTCATACCTACGTTTTGTTATTTGAGGTAGACTTTGGTTCATTGAAAAGTGCATTTTTCTTCCCTCAAGAAGGGAAAAAGAAATGTGCGCTCCCAAATTAACCGGAACGTGAGAAAATCTCAGACGATCTAGACGTCTTAATCTTGAGAAATAGACGGGCCTTCATTTACCCCTTCTTCATATTATCAGAAATCCTATATGTTGTGGCGACTAAAGAGAGAAAATTATGCACCGTCTCCATTCTACACGCTAAGCGAGCGTGTCATTGCACGCGCTAAGCGTGTGATTCTACTCGTCAAGCTTGCGGAAAACCAAAGCGCAGGCCAGAAAGCTCCCGGCTCCCGTGAAAGAGGAGATATTTGTTGCCGTAAAAGGGAAAAAAAGAAGGAATATTGTTTGCCGACGTGTGGTCCTTCTACATGTGGACTCGCGACGGCGACAGCTAGTCGGCACGGCGCAACGCAACGCAACGGGCGCGGAGATCCGGAGAAAGCAGCAGTCTCTGAGCCCCCGGCCGGGCTGCTGGCCACTCTGGTCCCGAAGTACTGTAGGACGACGACGAAGTGAGCGTGGGCGCGGCTCCAGCACGCGACAGCGAAACATGCCCGTCGACGTGTGACCCCCTGAGCCTGCCAAGCACCTCGCCTCTCACGTCTTGCTCCTAGGGAACAGGTGGCTCCTGGTCGCTCTTCCATCCGGTCTTCGTCGCCTGCTCCTGCTCGGCCGTATATAAACCCTTGCTCGATCCGTCCATGGAGGATCCAGCAGCACCACAACACTGTACAGTCTGCCAGAGCTCCGCCTCCCCCTCCATTGCCAGATTTTGATCGAGTGATCGGTCGGGCCGGTAGATCGATGGGGTTCCTGGAGGCCCTGTCGGGGCTGTGCCGGTCGTGCCCGGCCCCCCTCACGCGCGGCCACCTGCAGAAGGGGCGGCAGCTGGAGACGGTGGAGATGAAGGTCCGGATCGACTGCGAGGGGTGCGTGAGCAAGATCCGCAAGACGCTGGAGGGGATGGACGGCGTCACCGGCGTCGACGTCGTCCCCAGGGAGAACAGGGTGACCGTCACCGGCTACGTCGACGCCGCCAAGGTGATGCGCCGCGTCGCGCGCAAGACCGGCAAGCGCGTCGAGCCGTGGCCCTACGTGCCCTACGACGTCGTCGCGCACCCCTACGCGCCCGGCGCCTACGACAAGAGGGCGCCCGCCGGGTACGTCCGCGACGTCATGGCCAACCCCGGCGGCGCGAACGCGTCCTTCGCGCGCGCCACCTCCACCGAGACTAGGTACACCGGGGCCTTCTCCGACGAGAACCCCAACGCGGCGTGCGCGATCATGTAGCTCCTCACTAGGTCGATCGATCTCCTCCCGTTCCATTTGGTAACTCCTAGTAATACCTAGGTAGTAACTGCTACGTATGTATGTATATTTGGGTTACACTTTTTCCTCGGAGGAGCTGCATGGCTGCTCCGGGTTGGTTCAGGCGGCAGGCTGGCCGTCCTGCCGTCGTTCCCCTCGCAGATGCTTCAGGCTGCCCCGCCGTCGCCGTGCTGGGGCCGGTCAAGCTCTTCGACCACTGATGAGGTACGTGGCAATAAACTCCATGACCCGGATCTAGGTCTGGTCGTTGGTCTTGTTCCCATTCTGCTCCGCTGCAAGGTTGATCGATCTGGAATGATCTTGTGCTTCTGGGCATTACGCCGGGAATGATCCTCGATCGGCGTCCTGTTGACTCGGTGTTCGCATTTCTCCAATGTCATGTGCAGTTGCTGCAGTGTCCATGGGCCACCAATTTTTAACCTCCAGGCTCTAAGAAAGCCCTGGAGGCCACCTAAGATCACGCCGTTGCGCAATGCCAGTAAAGGAGTACTGATCTTGCCCGGCGAGGTCGGGTCTTTGTGATTGAATAAATTATTAGTGGATTTAGCTTCTTCCATCTTTCAGCTTCAGTTACTGTTTCCAGAATAGACTTTGTAATTTCCTTTCTTTACAAGAACCGTAAGTAGTGATCTATGTAACAATTCTACACAAGCAATTTAGTGCGTAATTTTTAGGAACAATTTCTGGCCAATTCTTGGCTTGATGTATGCTTGAATGATAACCAAACCAATCAATACCATTTTTTTTTTTGCAAAAATATACTCTGGCTCTTGCTTGGAGGATTGCCACTATTTTGGCAAGTATTATAACCAACTCTACTTCAATTTTTTTCGGCAACACCAACCGACCAAAACATTAACCGAATTTGGTAGGGTTGGCTTGGGCTCAAACCAAACCCACCATTATTGAGCTTTGTTGCTCCAAATAACATCAAAGAATTATTCATGGGATCAAGCATTCTTGTTAGCAGTGTCTATCTGTTTTAGTTTTTTTTATTGTGGGAAGTAGATGTTTTAGTTATTAAAAACACATATTTTTCGAACCTCTAGTCCATGTCTTAGGGACCGAACGCTCTCCCCCTCCCCCGCCGCCCCGTCCGATGGGATGAGATGAGTGGCAGGAGGAGTGCGGGGATGATGAAGTGGGCGGGAAGGATAAAAGGGGAGTGGGAGGAGGGAGGAGAAATGGAGATAGAGGGACATGAGTGGCGACCTCATGGCAACCAGCGACATACTCGGAAAGGGCTAGAGAAGAGACAAGAGGGGTGGGAAGTATACCACATAGGAGAGTGAAAGGATCAGTGTGGCGACTAGAGGAGGGAGGGTGAATAGGCGACTAACAATCTTTAACATCTTTATGTTCGACAAGAAAGTAGGTCGCGCAACTAGGTGGACAACCTATACGACAAGCAACACAAGAACATGTGCAAGCACAAAGTAAACACACAATAAAAGTTTGTACAAAGTAAAGGCACGAAGTAACCAAACAAGTGGAGTAGATGGAGATGAGGATGTGTTGCCGAAGTTCCCTCCTTTGGGGAGGTACATCTTTGTTGGAGAGGTGTGGAAGTACAACACTCCCTAAATGTCCCTAGAACCACCTTATTCTCCTCAGGCCCTCGCACGATGCAAGGTGTCGTGAATCCAGTAGCAGTGCCCTTGAAGGTAGCAACCAGAACCTTTACAAACAAGGTTGGGGCTCTCTCCACAACTTAGGAGGCTCCCAACACCACCACAAAGCTTCACCACAATGAAATATGGCTCCGAGGTGAACTCTTCCCTCTAGGGTGCCCAAACACTCAAGAGTAACAAGATTCACAAGTGAAAGTATGGGGGAATCAAATTTCCTTTGGTGGAAGTGTAAATCTAGGTTTCCTCTCTCTCTCAATCCCTAGCAAATCAAAAAGTTTGGTTGGCTACGAAAGGAGATTGGGTAAGAATGAGTTGGGGCGACAATGAAGAGAAGATAGAGACTGGAGATTTTTGGGAGGTGGAAGAACCCCCTCCTCAAATCCAATCATTATCTGCAGATTCGCATAGGGGCGATACAACTGCCCTAGGCCTAACTCTTCTCACGCAGAAGCATAGCCGTACAACCGCTGGGTGGCCTGGTGGTACTGGTTAAAATTAATAATCCGGAACAACCGTATCACTATCACCCTGTACAACACCCGAGACCTGAAAGGAATCACCCTATCCTCAGTACCGGGGGCGATACCTGCACTAGAACAACCGCAAATATCCTCACTCTAGTGACCACCAAGTTCAGAGTGATACAACTGCTCGTAACCCCGGTAGTACCGCTATAAATACAAGCAATGGGACAACCAGTGGACTACCACCCTATTCCGCACCCGGTACCTAACCCTCGATGCGGTACTTGGGGCGATGCAAGGGCCGGAACAACCGCTCGACAGTGTGGATTGGGGATGCGAAGTCCCGAGCAGCACAACCGCTATGGATGCACCGGTACAACTGGTCACCCACAAACCTGAGCACTTCCTGACCCGAGGGCATCACCCCTCGGGAGGTAGTTCTCCAGGAGTGCCGGACATGTGGTACAACCGCTTGCTCTAGCGGTACAATCGCTCGGAGCAAGTTTCCTACAATTGATTGAATTTGAAGCTCTCTCCTTAAAAGGAAAGGCAATATGTGGGTGCAAAATATATATGTCTACGTGTTTGATTCACCTAGTACCTTCCTATGCGGATCGCCTCTTAATAGTGCGGATTTCCTACGATTTGTCCTCGGTCTTTTTTGATCGGAGGGGTGCCCAACCGTCTTGTTCCATATAGGGTATACCTATGTAGCTTAGGCACACAGTTAGTCCGAAAGTTGCATTATCATCAAAACCAAAATAGTTAAGGCAGGAAATGCCCTTTCAGAGAGAGGGGTGGAGAGGTCACTCCCTAATCATTTACTTTGAGACCATAGTAGTACAGTTAAGGCCTATGCACATGGTTTGAACCCCACATCACACACAATTTTGGGAACATGTGCTCGAGTGGATTGGCCATCGGGGGTACCATTGCACACCATAAGAAAAATCTTGTGTGACAGAATGGATGTTCCCAAACGGTTTGCAGAAGGGAATTGTTTGTGATAAGTATCCTTTCCCAGACAATTTACCTTGTTATTAATCATGTCCGATGGTGTTGCCACTTCCAAATGGTTTGTCAAGGTGGATTGTGTGTAATGCGTCCGGTAATCGCACACGATTATCTATGTAAGAATGTGCATGATGATGTTGTCTACCGCACTCGATTGTTTTAAACAAAGGGTGTGCGTTGTTCGATTTAAGGCTCATGACTTTTCGGTCAAGAAACTTGTGAGATGTTATGTCTAGCACCAGGCATTCACTTATATATAATTTAATTATTGTGATAGCTACTTCACCAGAAATGTTATTCCATTTTGAATGTAGGCATAACTGAACATCTTTCGTATCATCAAACATAGAGATCAACATATGTTCAAGAATTACAAGCATCAAATCAAAACAAATACAACAATGCCAATTTAACATTACACACATGGCAACAATGCAACTTTAGAGACGGTAAAGAGAGAGGCAAAAGAAATTCAGGTTGTTCTCGAAGTTGAAGAAACGATAATCCCATATTGTACCCCTCGATGGAAGGATTTAACAACCATAGTACAACCCCTTATGATGGTGCCCGCCCATCATTCATCATCTTGAGGAAGACATCAAAATCTCATCATAGTATTCTTGGTGAAATACTTTAACTTTCCTTGCCTCGTCATAAATCACGTAGTGTGAGAGGTAATACTCAGTGAACTTCTTTGGAAGCCACTGAAAACAGAAATATTATGGTATTATGGTGTAATCATATATCATGAATGTGGAAAATGAAAGCTACATATATAATTATTACCATCCTAAAAGTCAATGTTTTCTTGGATAATGCACAACTAAATAGTTTGATTATGATCATCTGTTTATTCTAAGAATCTTTTTTAGTTTCTTCACTTGGCCCGGTTTCAGGAATATCTCATTGCCCCATGCGCATAAATGGTTGAAGCGTGGATTTGTACGTACATGCAAGAGATCATAAATATGGCGAAGTTACTTGGAAATTGAACAATAATATACAATAAGGCTAGACCTAGGAAGATCAAGCTAACCTTGATGGTAAAGAACTACCTCTCGCATTGTGACCCTGCAATATGTACAAGCATGTTGAGGTGAAACGAGAGTTAGCACACTATCCATAATAGCCTCATTATGAAGATTTAGCACACTAGTATACCAAAAGAGTTGAATATGGAAAGACTTTTCACTTAAACATGCTTATAAGAAGACACCAAATATAATCACATTGCTTGATATATTGAACATCTGAACCAGACATTGCATACTGTCAATACAATCATCTGCTTGATTGAACACATACTATGCATAACTGAAGAAAAGAGGCCAAATAGTTAAACATCACATCGGATAATCAGAAAATTAGTGCATAGAACGAGGGCTTAATTAGCTATAAGTTAGATTTAATTGTCTAGAATAATAGGGAATGATTTGCTAAAAGCTACTACTCATTGTCAGAGATGATGATGGGCCCCTTCCTGTAACACCCCGGATGTAACTTTCCCAATTTGTACTCCAACTCTTGCCGTTTCCGGCGTTAAGTTATATTTATTTCTCGAGTTCGGGTCTTTGTCTCCGTGTGTTGTTTTCTTTTTCATGCATCTCATATCATGTCATCATGTGCATTGCATTCGCATACGTGTTCATCTCATGCATTCGAGCATTTTCCCCGTTGTCCGTTTTGCATTCCGGCGCTTCGTTCTCCTCCGGTGGTCAATTCTAGCTTTCTTTCGTGTGTGGGGATTAAAAATTTCCGGATTGGACCTAGACTTGTCATGCGGCCTTGGTTTACTACCGGTAGACCGCCTGTCAAGTTTCGTATCATTTGGACTTCGTTTGATACTCCAACG